TGGGGGCTTGGGGCTGGAAGGTGCAGAACCCCTGGCCCCCAGAGGCTGTCCTTGGAGTGCAGTGCGGGTGAAGCAATGCCAGGAAAAGGTGGGGCTCAGGGTTTTTCAGGCTACTCTCACTCCTCCCTCACACTCACACCTGCACAGCAAATCCACCCACCACGAAGCAACCACACCACACACACTCACAAGCACACACTCCCAGAACACCAGGGCCTGGGCTTAGGTGTCCACACTGTGTGTCTACGGGACTCAGTCCTGACTCCAGACTCCAGGGAGCCCCTCATCCCTTCCCTGGTCCCCCAAGGAAGGTCCATAATCGACCCCAGAAGTGAGGATAGCTGGTCCCACTTGGGGCAGGGCAGGTGCAGAGGGTGAGCCTGACCCTTGGGACCTGGGGCCGAGGGGGTGGATCAGGCACGTGAGGAGGCTCTGATATCCTCTTGGGATCTGGGAGGGGATGGCTTTCCTTCTTGAGCTGAGGGGGAGGGGGCAGGTGCAGGGTCAGAGAGGTCAGGGGCCAAGACGTAGCAGAGCTGGCAGTAGGCTGAGCAGCAGCCCGAGGCCCAGCAGGGTGGCGCTGGCCCACAGCCTGTCATCAGCTGTGCTGAAATTGCACAGGAAGCTCTGGCAGCAGTGGGTACCCACGGATGCCACACCGAGATTGACTCTTGGGCCAGGGCAGATCGGGAAGCAGCCCTTGCTCAGGCTGTGGCCGAAGTCCACAACTTTTCCAGTGCCAGCAGCAGCAGATATAGTCACACAGTAGTTGTCCGATTCAGAGCAGATGGTTGGCTTCAGGTAGTAAAAATTGCTGTTCTGATTCGTGCAGGAGAAGCACACCAGCGAGTGGGCTCTTTCCACACCCAGGAGGGCAGCCAGCAGCACCGGCAAGAAGACCTTCATTCTGGAGGGGACAGATGTCCCGTCTAGGGCCTTGCAAAGCCAAAGAAGCTTGTCCTGCTCGCCAGGCAGATGCAGGCACCAGTGGCCTCTGGGAGCTCCCCAACCCTAGCGCGCTCCAGACCGCGGCAGCCTCGGTGACTCCTGGATATTGTAATAATTATATATAAATATAAATACTATCATCCCAGCATTTTGGGAGGCCGAGGCAAGAGGATTACCTGAGCCCATGGATTTGAGACCATCCTGGGCAACATGGTGAGACCTTGTCTCTGCAACAAATCAAAAAATTAGCTGGGTGTGGTGGTGTGCACCTATAGTTCTGGCTACTTGGAGGGCTGAGGTGGAAGGGTCGCTGGAGTCCAGCAGGTGGAGGTTGCAGTGACCGGGAGCGTGCCACTGCACTCCGACCTGGGCGACGGAGTGAGACTCCAACTCAAACAAATAGATAGATAGATAGATAAATAAATAAATAAATATTATATATATCCCATTAGGAGATAGCCTGTTAAGAGAAGAATAACCAAGAGGTACTGTCTGGTTGCAGAGAATTTGCAAAGATTAAATTCAAAACTCTCCTCAACTTGTGACTTCATACTTAAATGTCCATCTATACCTAGACCCATATCCATATCACCCATTGACATCTATATCTATATTCATATCCATATCCATGTTCCTATCCACGTCCATGTCCACATTCATGTCCGTGTCCATGTCCATATCTATATCCATGTATATCTCTGTATCTATATCTAACTCTATATTGATATCACCTATCTTACTTTATCTCTGTCTCTATGTATACCTCTCTCTATATCATTGATCTATATCATCTGTCATCTCCCCTGTGGGATCTTGTTTTTCTAGAGAGCCCTGATAGCCCTGACGAATATAGGAGGGAAAAAAGACCTCATAGAAGAAACCAAGTAAGGACCAAATGTGCAAAGCCCTTGAGTTGGTGTTTGAGGAGATACAGAATGAGTCGTCTTGATGAAGCACGGAGAGCTAGTGGCTGGTGGAGTAGCCAGGTCAGATTTTGTGTTGAGATGCCCTTTTGGCAGAGCTGGTATGTTAAACTCAGCTGCAAATACTAATTCTTGGAATTTTATAGGATGCCTTCAAATTCATTCAGTCTTCAAACTTTTTTTATTTTTATTTTTTTCACCTTTAAATTTTTTATTTTAAAATTGTGGGGTAGAGCCGGGCTCAGTGGCTAAGGCTGTAATCCCGTGTTTTGGGAGGCTGAGGTGAGTGGATTACCTGAGCCCGCGGGTTCGAGACCTGCTTGGGCAACTTGGCGAGCCCTCATCTCTGCAATAAATAAAAAATTAGTGGGCCATGGTAGCGCGCACCTGTAGTTCCAGCTACTTGGAAGGCTGAGGTGGAAGGATCACTGGAGCACAGCAGGTCGAGGCTGCGGTGGCTGGGAGCGGCCACTGCACTCCAGTTTGGGTGACAGAATGAGACTCCAACTCAAAAAAAAAAAATTGTGGGGCGCAATTCAGTGTTAGGTATACAAATATTCATTGTACAGTTACCCTTGTTGATGAGGTGTGCTCCCCCTTCCCCAGGCAGATTCCCACTACTGCCAATAAACTTTTTTATTTTAAAGTGTTCTTATGTATTTCTGACTTCCATGGAAGTTTCCATAAATCACTTACAGACACTAACATTTTCGTTCTTTTCTCTCTTCTCATTCCCTCCCTTCTCCTTCCGGTCTACCATGCTGTCTCTCTAGGCCTTTCCTCTTTTGATCCTCTAGTTCCTCACGTACTTGATTTGGGTGACCCCAAAGAACTGGGAAATAAAAATGGCCCATGAGAGGACATAGATGGAATGTGTTTAATTACTGAGAGTGAAGCAAGAAGCAGCTACACCCATCAGTGAGTTTGTTACTGACTGAAGAGTTTAGGAACTCCCAGAATTCCAAGGGAGGAGCCATCTCAGGGAAGTGGCGTGAATTCTGTGCAGAATGTGGGGTCCTAATTCACTGTTTTGTGCCAACAGAAAAGAGCTGGTCAGACTGGATGATGGCATATAGAAACCCACTGAGGTGGCAAGTGAGAGAGACTTTCTGTATCTGCTTTGTGTACCTGTTCATCACAGCCAAGGCCATCATCAATTCAGGCCTCAGATAGCCAAACAACTAACTCTCCTTGAGTGAATTCGGTGGCCACAAAGAATCTTCTTATAAAATGGAGACTCCTGGCCGGGCACAGTGACTCAAGCCTGTAATCCCAGCACTTTAGGAGGCCGAGGTGAGGGGATTGCCTGAGCCTCTGGGTTCGCTATCAGCTTGGGCAACTTCAACTTGGTGAGACCTCACCTCTACAACCAATCAAAAAATTAACCAGGCGTGGTAGCATGCGCCTGTAGTTCTGGCTACTTGAAAGGCTGAGGCAGAAGGGTCACCTGAGTCGAGCAGATGAATGCTGGAGTGGCTGTGAGCATGCCGCTGCATTCCAGCCTGGGCAATGGAGTAGGACTCCAACTCAGAAAAGAAAGGCGACTTATGTAACTCTGCTGCTGAGGGAGAAATGTGCAGCTCTGGCAAAACTGAGGATTAGGACTTGTCTAGCAGATATGTCTCCGTGAAAATTAATACACTGACCATTTTGATTCTTACACGACTCTCACAGGCTTGGTTAACGGGGGTCTACTGCTGTGATACTGATCAAATTTCTGAGCTTATGAATCTGAGAACAAGGCTGTAGACTGTGGCGAATTCATTCATTCAAGTAACATTATGAAGCCAGAACTTTTTGCACTTTTCCATAAAGTCATTTTTTCCCCTTCTATTTTATCTTGGAGACAAAGGGTGCCTACCCAAGAAGGTTTTTCAGGTAGTGAGTGATGTGATCAGATTAAAAAGAATCCTGGTTGCAGGATGGAGAGACTCTGGCAGAAGGGGACAGGGAGGAGTGGACCGTGGGAGCCCAAGGTAAGCTGAATAGATCTGGATTAAGGCAACATCAGTGAGATGTCAGCTACCCCATTAAACTGGGATCTCTGGAGCTCTGTGGTCCCTTGCATCTGAAGGGTGAGGGCTAGGCTGCAATCAAAGCTGGCAAAAGAATATCTTATTTGTCATTTTTCTTCCACTAAATAACCGTATCTCAACTCCCACCAACAATGCCACAACAGTTACAATTGTGACAAGTATGAAACACAGAATCTGAAATAAATTAGTGCCATGTCAGTCCATTGCACTAAACCATCGAATTCCCTAAGAGGTTTAGCGACATATTGGATAAAGTGAAATTAATCCTTGAGAGCCACACGTTGACATATGCATGTGCTATGAATCCATAAACTATACCGAGAGCATTAGAAAAAGAAGCTAAAAAAAAATGCAAGCAAGCACATCTGTATTCTGTCCTGCGAGTAAAGCTCACTTCACAGTGTCATTTTCTCTTGCGGTGTTGAACCAGGACGAGGCTCTGAAATGTTAACACTGTTGACCTTTACAATCCGATGTGCTGTTGATTGCACCCCCAGACAGACTCGATGAAGCTTTGCAATCAGGTCACCCTTGAATATGATTCACTACCCTAAATTTAGAAAAGGCTGTGATTCTAACAGCAAGTGACAAAAACCAGAGAATTTCAAGTTCTCCCTGGCTGCTCTGGCTTCTATTCCCCTCCAGGCCAAGTCAGAGCTGCCAGCCTCGTTAATGAAAATTATGAGCTTGTTAGAAGAATAACCAGGAGGTGCTGCTGATAAGAAGTCTCAGGGAGTGAGAACTCTCCTCCACTTTTGGCTTCCTACTTAAAGTAGTTCTTTCTGTTTTAAATATTTTGAAAAGCAAGACCTATGAGCAAGTTTTGTGACTTTTCACAAAAAGTCATGTGGGTAGACATGCAATATGGGGTCGTGTGGTTAGGTGATGAATTTATATTTTATGCTAATTACATAATATTTATATATTACGCTAAAATAGAGAATATATATCATTACTGATATCCAAATTGAGGCTGGGCACGCTGCTGTTAGGTGATGAATTTAGGATCACCGGTGCACCCAGGCCTGAGGCCGGAGGGCAGACTTTCTGCCTGAGTGTGTGTGAAAACAGTTTCAGAAGGGTCCACCCGTTATAACACACTGCTTTTTTTTTGTTTGTTTTTTTGAGTTGGAGTCTTACTCTGTCGCCCAGACTGGAGTGCAGTGGCCGCTCCCAGCCACCGCAGCCTCGGCCTGCTGGGCTCTGGCGATCCTTCCGCCTCAGCCTTCCAAGTAGCCGGAATTACAGGCATGCGCTACCACGCTCGGCTGATTTTTTGATTTATTGTAGAGATGAGGTCTCGCTGCCCAGGTGGGTCTCGAACCCACGGGCTCAGGCAATCCACTCACCTCAGCCTCCCAAAGGCGCGGGATTACAGGCTGAGCCACCAAGCCCAGCTCGCACTGCTGT